TGTTGCCTGCTTCTTGTCTAATCCAAGTCTCCTGGGTATGGTAGAGACTTGCATGGCTGTCAGCAGAGAAGGTGTGTGGGTTTTTGTTTTGTTTTGTTTTGTTTTGTGTTTTTCTTTTTTGTTTTTTGTTACATTTGTTGTCCTTAGGCAATCAAGAAGCCTGCTAAGGCCAGCTCCTGATTGCCTGGGTCTTTTCTGTCACTAACCTAAGTATACCTTTCAAGGGGATCTGAGCAACAACAAAGACTTTAAGGACTCTTTTATAGACTAGGGGTTGGGGCTAGAGAGATGGCTCAGCGGTTAAGAGCACTGACTGCTCTTGCAGAGGACTCGGGTTCAATTCCCAGCACCCACATGGCGGCTACGAACCATCCTTAACTCCAGTTCCAGGGGAATCTGAAGCCCTCTTCTGACCTCTGCGGCATTGCACGACACAGGTGCATTCACATACATGCAGGCGATACACTCGTACACATAAAATAAAAATAACAAAATATTAAAAAAAAAAGACTAGGGGTTAAAAGTTTAAGAGGTTCTTCAGCTGTGACTTCCAAACTAGGGCACATATAGGGGCATTTCTCCTCTCCTCCCTTCCCCTCCCATTCCCCCCCTCTTTTTCTAGCTCACCCTGGTATCAGACTCCCAAAGTATCCAAGGATGACAATGACCTTGATCCTCTGCACCTCCAGATTGCTGGGATTACAGGCACGAACGACCATGCCCAATTTAGCACTCTATTAGCTGAGCCACAGTCCCAGTCCTATTTATTATTTATATTTTCTATCAATCATCATTTAAAACCTTTCTATTTGGGGAGGCATTTTATCAATAATCTAAGTACATGGATAATCATATGTTGGAAATGCAAAAATATTTTATTGACAGGATTAAACACATGATTTAAAACACAACAGAAAAGTCAGGATATGTCTGTCCTGAAGGTCAAGTAAGGGAAAGTGGAATCCATTCCTGAGAGAGGAAATTCAGAGCCCAGGAGCTGCACCCTAGCACTCACCATTGCAAACCTCTGTTTCTCTGCCTGCATGCCCATGGACCACTGAGATGGCCCCAAAGGAGAGGGTCCTCCCACAGTGTCTGCCCAGCTGTAATTGCCCATTACTGAAAGGTCAGCCATGAATTTATCAAAACCTTGTTTGAAGCTGTGGGGCTCTTCCGGCTGCTCTGACTTAAGTTTCCCTGAGTTCACTCCTGGTGAACAGCTTATTAATATGAGTCATTTCTCTTTCAAATGTTCAACTGGAGGCGGTGGGGGGCATACTCTGGAGGCTGCCATGTGGAGCCCAGCATGGTTTCACTCTGGCCCTATCCTGGCCCCATGCCTCCCTGCTTTTCCTTCCTGTACACTACAGCCCTACCAGGCCCTCACTGACCACAGCAGCTCTTGGCTGCTTCCCTCTGTGGGCCAGGTAGCCCTGTTGTGACCCAGTGTCTGTAGCATCTTTCAGTCACTAGAACATGTTAGTTCCATTCTTTTCTGACCAGTGCAGTCTGGAGTATGTGTTCTAGTAGTAGTCCTGGATGGGACAGGGGCCACAGGGCTTTTGAACACTGGTGAGGGAGAGGCAAGCTGTTTGGCTCTGTACTCCCAGAAAGGGTCAGGGGGTTCCTTCCTGCCTTGGCAAACAGAGTTGGGTTAAGATTATATATATATATATGTTTTTCGGTCTGTGTAGACCAGGCTGGCCTTGAACTCACAGAGATCCGCCTGCCTCTGCCTCTCCAGTGCTGGGATTAAAGGTGTGCACCACCATGCCCGGCTGGGTTAAGATGATTTCTAAGGGGCTGGAGCGATGGTTCAGAAGAGCAATGGCTGTTCTTACAGAGGACCTGGGTTTGATTCCTAGCACCTACATGGAGGCTAAAAACTGTAACTCCAGTTCCAGGGGACCCAACACCTCTTCTGACCTCCAAAAGCATTGTACAACACAGGTGCACTTACATACATGCAGGTAATACACTCATATACATAAAATAAAAATAATAAAATATTTTTTCAAATAAAAATGATTTCTGAACAGTTAATAGCCCTAAATGCTGAAAAGAAGGCTGGTAGAAATTGGGCAATCTCTATGTTCTTTGCCTTTCTTTGCCATCTTTAAAATACATTTGTAAGGTATTTTTAGTTTCCCTTGTTTGGCTTCCAGCCACTCCTTCGTGTCTGCCCTCTTCTTCCAGCCTGATCTCCTGTGTCTTTGCTTCTTTACAGTAGCATTCCTATCCTTGTCTTGTGCATTATCTTTACCCCATCATTCCTCAAGAAATGGACTCCCTGAGGTTTCTGGGAGGAACATTAGCTTCAGGGGCTTCACAGATGGTCTGTGTCCATGAGGCCAAGTCTTGTCTGAGACACATGGTCCTGCATGTGGACTCCTCCCTCCTTTACCCTGCTCCCTTCCAGCAAACTTATTTTGGTGGAGACTTTTGTGTGTGTCCCTTAAGGAGGGCCTCCTGGAAAGCTTACCTCCTCTATCCCCAGGCTACCTCTACCATTTGGGCTGTCTTAGGATTCATGTCCAGATGGTCACTGGTGGACCTATGTTAAGCAGCAGGAGGAACTGGGCTAGGTTTGGAGATGCCATGGACATTCATGGTATGGTGCGTGGTCTTCACAGGTGTGGCTATTTTCTCCTGAAACTTCTCAGCCTCAGGTGTGTAGACTCAGCTCTGTTAGTGGCATTGTTGGATGGTCCCATGTATGGAAGCTTCTATAACCCTATGGGGTCATTTTCTTCTTTCCTTCTTTCTCTGACTGCTCTATTTCTGGAATTTCCTCTGAGCCCATGAATATTAACGATACCTGCTTCCTTTCCTGGACCACTGCTCTCTGGGTAACTTCTCTTCCTGAGAATTGTTTTGAACTGAACTAAGATAAAAATATCTAGATTTACCTGAATTGAGCCCAAGCTGTAATCTTTCTCTTGTCCCCTACCCCAACCTTCAATACAACCAAACCCAAATTTATGATACTGCTCTTATGCTCCCGCTGGCTGGCTTCCTTCTCTAGATTCCCCCATCTTCGTGAAAAAGAACACTCCTCCCTAGAGCTCAAGCCAGAATGTCCCTTGTTGTGTCTTCCCTCCCTCTCATCCTGTAGACTGTTCCCTGGGCTATTGCTTTATCTTCACTGGATTCCCTACCTTCATCATCTCCTCTTTGACATAGAGCCCAAACACACCTCTGTTGGAAAACCTTAAAGACCCTGCTGTCCCGGCCTCCTCATGCTGTTCTGAGCTTCACAACAACACACACTACTGTCTGGAGCTGGTCTAGGTGGTGGGAGTAGCAATGACTTACATCTGACATACTTGCCCCTACCCACAGCTACCCATACTGAGCATGCTCTGACAGACCTCTGGGCCCTCGTGCATGCATTTTCATCCCTCTGTCTAGCTTGCCTTTCTGCCTCAGGGAGAACAGCTTGTCCTTTAAGACCTAGTGTAGAAGTCTCCTCATCTTTCTTAGGAACTGTGGCAGGGCATCTAGCCGTGATTTGTTTGCATACCTGTTTCTATTCTAGACTGGAGGCTTCCAGAAGATTGGATCCCTGTCTGATTTGCTTTTTAAAAAATTCATTTTGATTAAATATTGAGTAGGTGTATATAAAGAATACAAGAAGACTTTTTAAAAATTTGTATATATGTAAAGAATAACAGTATGATGAACACCTGGAGACCTGACTTGCATCGTAAGAACTCATGAGTCCTTCCAGGCATGTCCAACCTTCTGACATTGCGACATCATGTTGCCGTAGAAACAGTTCACACACAAGAACTGCTCAATCAAGTTATCAAAAAAAAAATCACAAAAAGAAATCTCATAAAATATTTTAAGTGTACAGTTTTGTGTTGAGCTGCATACATAGCGAACCTTGCCATGTGCAGCTAGCTGCCTGGTGTCCATAGCAGGCAGGACACACCTATAGGATCATAACCAGGTCAAAGGACTTGGAATAAATCCAAGGGTCAGTAAATGTGAATGATTAAAAGAATGATCGAATGAATACCTGTTATTGGAATCTTTTTTTCTTCTGTGAGTCTCAGTTGCTGAGCAAGCTCCATGTGAACTAGTCCTAACTGGACAATGTCACTGTCCTAACTGGGCCTTTCTTCCTGTGCTCACCATCTGTTCTTTTTTTTTTTGGTCTTTTTGAGACAGGATCTCCTTATAGCCCCAGCTGTCCTGGAACTCACTATGTAGGCCAAGCTGGCCTCAAACTCACAAAGATCCACCTGTCTCTGCCTCCCAAGTGCTGGGATTAAAGGCGTGTGCCACCACGCCCAGCTGTGTTCTTTTTTTTTTTTTTTTTTTTTGGTCTTTTTGAGACAGGGTCTCCCTGTAGCCCCAGCTGGCCTGGATTTGCTATGGAGACCAGACGGGCCTCGAACTCCCAGAGATCCGCCTGCCTCTGCCTCCCGAGTGCTGGGATTAAAGGTGTGCGCCACCATGCCTGGCTCTGTTCATTTTTATATGCATATTGAGTGTCCACTCAGTGTGAACATGGTGCTGGATCCTGGGTATGAAGTAGGAAGCAAAACTGTCAGAGACCTTTTCCTAGATCCTCTTTGACAAAAAGAATTCAGAGACCCTAAATTTCAGTGCTTCCCACCCCTCTCCAGTGCCACCACGCCCAGCTCTGTTCATTTTCATATGACTATTGAGTATCCACTCAGTGTGAACATAGTGCTGGATCCTGGGAGTAAAATAGTCAGAGACCTTTTTCTAGATCCTCTTTGATAAAAAAGAATCCAGAGACCCTAAATTGCAGTGCTTCCCACCCCTCTCCAGCCATAGTGTGTTCCCCTGGGAAAATAGTGTGGAACACTGGCTAAGGGTGTGGACTGGGATCCTGCTACTTGTGAGTCATGAATGCCCTGCCTGCAGAACTTCCTTGACACGTATGTACAGCAGCTTCCTCATGTGGAAAGTGGGGAGCATTACTCCTATGTCTTGAATTTGCTCTGACACTTAGAGGACTTAGCATGGGACAGGTAGCTTTTGGTGAGGGCTCAATCAGCACCACCACGATTGTCAGCAGATCATGGATCAGGTAATGGAGCTGGGGTTCGGTCAGCTGTGTAGGCAGACCCCAGTATTGTTTTCTGTAGTTGGGTCCGGCATGAAATCATCCAGGAAAGAGGTGAGTGCCACGCCAAGCACTTGGTATGCTCCCTGAGCTCTAAAATATTTGAGTCCATTTTGTTATTCTGAGCCTGTAGTTCATCTGTTCAAAAAAGTTCAAATTAAGCATTCGGTTTGTGACAGGCCTTGGATCTGGATAAAGTGTCTAAAGAAAGAATAAATTGTGATACAACATTTAATTTAAGACTCACTGTGAGCCAGAGCATGGTGCTTCATACCTTTAATCATAGTGGGAGACAGAGCCATGAATTTGAGGCCAGTATGGTCTACATAGTGAGTTCCAAGCCAGCCTGAACTACTGTGTGAGACCCTGTCTTTTTTTTAAAAAAAAAAAAAAAAAAAAAGAGGGGGCCGGGCTGGAAAGATGGCTCAGCTGTTTAGAGCACTGACTGCTCTTCCAGAGGATCCAGGTTCAGTTCCCAACACTCACATAGTAACTAACACCCACAATTAACTCCAGTTCCAGGAAGTCCAATGCCCTCTTCTGGCTTCTGTGAGTATTGCCCGCATGTAGTATGCTTACAAGCAGGCATAAAATAAATATTTTAATGAAAAAGGCTGGGTGTGGTGGAATGGGCCTTTAATCCCAGCCCTTGGGATGCAAAGGCAGGAAGCTCTCTGTGAGATGAGGCCAGCCTGGTCCACATAGTGACTTCCAGGTGGATTGGGACTAGGGAGACCCTGTCAAAAAAAAAAAAAAAAAAAGATAAAAAAGAAAAAAAGTCCCCATGTACACAGAAGATTGCCTGTCACCAGACAACATAAATATACTAGAAATTGCTAAATTACTCAGAAGACCTTGCATAGCCTGGGGAAGGGGCCACAGCCTGTTACAGTGTTCATGTTATAAAGGCTATCAGTACCTTCTGATTAACTTTCAGGGGTTGCTTTTAAATTTTATCCATAAATAATTCCAGTGAAAAGTGAAACTACAAATTGAACCACAAGAGGAAATATTTCTTTAGAAGACCCTGAAATTGTTCTGCTGAAAGGCCCTAGAGAAGCCAAGTTTTGAGTGTGGCCACCTCTCTTCCAGGCCTCACAGTTGATAGCAAAGATGACCCAGAGGGGTTAGGCCCAAACTAGCTGTCTCACTGAAGAAGAAAGGGGCAGATCTGTGACTGGATGACCTGGTATGTATTGTTGGTTGATGAAAGAAATGTTTTTTTGTGTTTTTTTTTTTTTGGTCGAGTGGAGGCCAGAAATCAACCTTGGGTATCTTTCAAAATTGCTCTCTACATTTACTTATTTATTTATTTATTTATTTATTTATTTATTTATTTATTTACTATTTTTGAGACGGGTTCTCTCTGCAGCCCCAGATGACCTGGAACTCACTATGTAGTCCAAGCTGGCCTCAATCTCACAGCTACCTAGCTTTTTGATACAAGGTCCCTCACTGAACCTGGAGCTCATTGGCTAGGCTCACTGGCCAGCCAGCTCCAGAGGTCCACTAGTCTCTGTCTCCCCAGCACTGGGATTGCTGGGATTACAGATGCATGTGTCGCACCTGGCTTGTCCTAGTTTGTTTCTTCATTCTGACCACTACCAACTTGGGGAGGAAAGGGTTTGTTTATCTTACATCTCCCAGGTCACAGTTCATCTGGGAGCCCAAGGTAGGAACTCAGGGCAGGAACTTGGAAGCAGGAGCTGGAGCACAGGCCATGGAGGAACTCTGCTTACTGAATTGCTCCCCTGGCCCCTGCTCAGCCTGCTTTCTTATGCAACACAGGCCCACTTGCCCAGGGGTGGCACCACCCACAGTGGGCTGGGCCCTCCCACATCACTCAAGAATCAAGAAGATGCCCCATGGATATGGCCACAGGCCAGTCCAATAGAGGAAATTCCCCAATTGAGGCTCCCTCAATTTCTCACCCCCTGTTTCTCAAAAGGGTGGAAAGACTGCCGAGTGTCTTGGGGTGGGGCTCCATGAAGTCTTTATTTCGCCTTGGAAATTGATAATTATAGGACATCCTACCAGCTCCTGAAATTTTCTGGCTCCTGAAGTTTTCTGGCTAGCAGATGGCCTTCAGTTGAGGGGAGGATTAGGGGCACTGGAGCAGTAGGGTCAGTGCAGGGGCCTTACCAATGTTTCTCAGCAAAACCTGCTCTATGCCCTGGCAGTCAGCAGCCACCCAAATGAATAGAGACAAAACAAGTACAAAAGTTCTGTGAGGCAATAGGACGTATTGTCTTTGACTTTTTGTGTTCTCCCTCTTTCAGAGTGGAAAAGAGGAAAATAAAACGGGCAGAAACAAATTTAAATTGATCCAAAGGAGAAAGAATACAGGGGATTGAATTTTGGCCTGAATGTTTTTTATCTCATGTATCTACCCAACTCTGCTGGCTCCTCTGCATCAGGGCCATATTGGGTGGTCATGGCATCAGGCATATTGGGCTTTCTTTAGTGGTCTTTCAAGGACTGTATCTCAAATCCCACCCAGCCTGAAAGAATAAAGCTTCCGCCATCTTTTAGACTTGGTCATCAGGCTTGACAGAGGGCTGTTAGAAGGAAAGTTCCCTTGTGAATAGGAAGAGCAGGGTATTGACATCACCTTGGGGCTTTTTGAAAGTGCAGTTCCTGTGATGAAGAAATGGCTCAGCGATTAAGAGCATTGGCTACTCTAGCAGAGGACCCGGGTTCAATTCCCAGCATCCATATCTTAGCTAACAACAATCTCAAACTCCAGTTCCAGGGGAATCTGATGCCCTCTTCTGACCTCCATGGGCATTGCATGACATGGGTACACTTACATACATGCAGACAATACACTCATATACATAAAATAAAAATAATAAATAAAAATATTTTAAAGTGCCATTCCTGGGCTGAGGATGTAGTTCAATTGCTACAGTGTTTGCCTGGCATGCACAATGCCCTGGGTTTGATCCCTAGCACCACATAAATCAGGCATGGTGGTACATACCTCTAATCCCAGAACTCTAGAGGTGGAGGGAGGCAGTGTGATGAGGCACCTCAGAACTGACCATAGCTACTCCATGTTATAACCCTAGCTGCTCCCAGCAATTGTAACCAAGAGGCAGTTGGCTCAAGTGGGCCCAGTTGCACCAGGGTGTGGGTTTGAAGAAAAGATCACTGTATACCTGGTTGCTCTTGCTAACTGCTTGTTTTGGGCTTCTGTACTTCCCATTCTGCTCTGCTTGGCTTGCACTTGCAGGAAGAAACTGTTGAGAACTTTTCCACCCCTGAGCCATGAGAAACTGTTGGGGAGGGGCTTTCCACCCCTGAGTGGACAATGATGTGGTTTTTCTGTATAAAAGCCTATCCTGAGAAAGGCTCAGGACTGTACTTGGGATTTAATGTCCAGTGTAGTTGCTGACCAGCTAGAAAGACTTTATTTTGGTAACTCTCTGTGTCGGAGTGGTCTTCTCTGGTGAGACAACCTCACAACAGCAGGAACATTGAAAGTTTAAACTCATCCTTGGCTATCTGGTGAGCCTGAGCTACAGGAGAGTCTGTCACGAACAAATAAACAAAAGAACAATGCTGTCCTACCTCCAGACCTACTGTTAGACTTACTAACTAGAATCTGTTCTTTATCAGGATATGAGAGAGGACAGTCATGATTCTGCCATGTGGCCTGGTGCCAAGGGTTCCAGAGGACAATGCTTGTGAGGGCTTTTCACAGGGTTCGGGAAATGATGGCTGTGCAGGAGAAAGAGGGTGGTGCTGGGGCTTGGAAGGGTCATCCAGGTCGGTAGAGATCTCTGCAAGTTGCTTCTATAAGATGTGTCTCTAACAGTCATTTTCAATGTCATTTCAGCAGTTCTCAGAGACTGGACCCAAAGGAGCCCCTGGGTAGCCAGAGAGCAGCTTCCCCAGCCCCAAAACAAGCTTCTGCTACTGCTCCTGGCCGTGAAAGCCCCCGAGAGACAAAGACCCAAGGCCCATCAGGCCAGGAGGCTGATGGTCCCCGCAGGACACTACAGGTAGACAGCAGGACGCAGCAATCAGGACGGTCCCCCTCGGTGTCACCAGACAGGGGCAGCACCCCTACATCCCCCTACTCCGTTCCCCAGATTGCTCCCCTTCCCAGCAGTACCCTTTGTCCTATATGCAAGACCTCAGACCTCACATCGACTTCCAGCCAGCCAAACTTCAACACCTGCACCCAGTGTCACAACAAGGTCTGCAACCAGTGTGGGTTCAACCCCAACCCTCATCTTACCCAGGTAACTACTCCTTACCCACTTAACCACTGCCTCATTACCATGTCTCTTCTGGTTCCTTTCCCTTCTTTTTACCAACCCTGATTATGGCCATTTTCCTCAACCACATCTTTCCATAACCAACATCTTGGCCCTCCCAGTGGTGGGGGTGGTGGTGGTGGTACTCACTCCAAGATGTGGTATCAGAAAACAAGGCCTGGCCCCAGATCTTCTAAGAGATTCCTATACCCTAAAAGCTTGGAAAGACACCCAAGTAGAAGATGCTTTCTCATCTGGTTCAATTTTGGCTTGAAAAAATGGTCTTGGAGAGGTCAAAGAATCTTATGGACAACTTCTCCCAGTGGTAACTCCATCAGAGAGGTCCATGCTTCCAAAGGGAATCTAGTTTTCCTGGCCCTGGGCTTGCCTCTCTCCTTGACTGTGAGCCCTGGAAAGGGATACTGGTAAGGGGAGAAAGCTTTTAGGGGAGTCAGGAATCTGCATTCTGGCAGGGCTCTGGATGGCTCCCCTCTGGGTTTCAGTTCCAGTTAGCTGGGGTCTGAGATGATGGACTAGACTGCGCTCCCCAATTTTGTGATAGAAACCAAGAATTCACAAGGATAATAGCAACCTACTTCTACCAAGAGGCTATATTGTAGCCATTTCCATGAATTTAGCCTCCCCTGCTCAGAGGATTGTTGGTCCACAGCCTCATCCTGGCTCTTTTGAGGATGCTTTGTGTTAAAGTGGGATGCCTAGCAGAATTCTTGGAGGCTCCCTTTGGTGACCTGGGGGCTGGTGTTCCCATGTGTTGGCTAAGCTGGGGCCAGCCCTTTAAAATGAACGGAGTAGATTTTCTGGCTTCTTTGTACTCCTGTGGGTAACTCATAAAAGTCTCTGCTTCTCCTCAGAAGGCTCTGCCTTGGACAAGGTGGAGAATAGCTAACTGCAGGCAGCCACCGTGATTATCAGCAGCTGGAGGTGTTTGGACCATGTGGGAAGGGGATAAGTGAGAATAGTTGTTAACAGGTCAGGGTCTATATATGCCATGAGGTATGGTGAGTGTGGGATGTGTGGTTTTCGAGAGGTAAGTGTGAGATTCTGAGGAAGGAGCTGTTAGTGTGGGGCGATGACTCAGTGCTTTTGGAGTTGCTCCTGGAGTGTGGAGGCTTCCTGAGGAGGCGTGCACGCTCGTGATTATTGCATCTGTGATTAGAAACAGGCCCATCCCTGCACTGATCAGTTAAGTAAGTGTTAGCTGTTCAATATTAAGAACAATGTGATTGAGGCCAGAGAAGCTCACCTATGGGATTCTACCAATTTAGAAGCCAGAAGTACCTGATCTCACAGGAGCAAGGAGGCTTGGTGGGTGGCCCATGCTTTTGTGGGACACCTCCTCCTTTGTTGCTCTCTCCCCTCTGGAAACTTCTGTGTTTGATACTCCCCGGGATGTTCATTTGTGCTGCAGTCCTTGGTGGGATGGGTGAGGATCAAGGGAGAACCACACATGGTTGTACCAGTCTTGCTGGTAGGTATCCCAGTCCTCACTGTGCCGCAGCCTCAGCCTCCTGGTTCCTTCATACCCAGAACCTTTAGTGAGTTAGGAAGGGAGCCAGCCTTTGGCTGTGCCTGGAAAAACAGCAGAGTAGGAGGACCTTGTAGACACACAGTCCATCTGCCTTGCTGTGCTGGGTGGAAGCCGAGGCTCAGGGCCAGGAGGAAAGGGAGCCTCAAACTTACTGAAGATTCACAGTATTTGGTGGAGAGCAAGCCTCTTTGCCAAATACTTCAAACGAATGCTGGGTTGGACAGATCAGGTTCTTTCTCAGAGCCTTTTGCATCTTCAGGGGCATCCAGAGCTTTAAGACAGAGGTTTACATTGGCAGCTTTTCCCAGACTTGCTTTCACAGAGAGTGGTAGGTGCTGCTGTTCTATGGCACCCAATTTGAGGAACACTGACCTGGTCCATTTCATGTCTGTGGGTGCTCTATTCTACTGGGGCCTCCAGACAGAATCTCTGCTTTTCTACAGCTGGCTTTCTGTAGTGTTCTTGTCAAGGAAAACTAAACCTTGGCACTTTTTCCTGAGGAGTGGGAAATCATAATTATCACAGTGCCACTGTCCTTTTTTCATTTGCTAAGAGCAGATTCGCCTTTCTGATCATACCTTTATGTGATGAGAAAAGACTTTCAAAGTTTTGCTCACATATCTGATGTTTTATCTGTCCTGGGAGATCATGTCTATTCTGCACACCACTAACTCAATGTTATGTCCACCAAGAAGGCTTTTCCAGGATTGAGCCTCTGTCTGACCTGACATTCTGTTCATGTGTAAGGGGCTAGTTGTGAAATCAACTATGTCGGGTGGTAGGGGCATCTGGAAGGGTAGCTTTTTCCAGGAAACTCAGTGACATCCATACACTTCCTTTTTTGGTGTCCCAGTTGGCAGGTGGGTGTACCTCAGCTCAGATGGCCTAAGGCAGGAGCCACAGGGAAGAGTCATGGGGATCCTGTCTGGGATAAAGAATATACCTGGAACTGCTGGTGTGGTAATGCTAAGTCTTGATTGAGGAAGCCTGCCAGTCCAGATCCCATGTTTAGGGCATACTAGCAGGAAGTGTAGACAGAGGGAGGGATCTAGCAGTCCTAGAGAGGAAGGAGGGCCACATAAATGACATGGAGGATCTTAGGGCCTATTCTTGGGTATTGGATATGTGACCATGAAAAAATGTAACCTTTCTCTTATATGTCATGACTAGAGGCTTGTAGTTGGTGTGAGACTCAAGTTACCATGCAGATTGGGGTGGAGTTGAACTATCATGATGATCAGGCAGTATGGGAGCCAATGAACAGAACAGAACTGGGCACTACTAGATGATGGTCACCATGAGTCAGGGATTTTATTTTTGTGTCTCCTGGCATCAGGGTCTTGCTACTTTAGCAGGTGCTGCAGAGGAACAGATTAGGTCCAGAGATGAGAATCACACTGTAGGCAGAGCAGCCAGCCACATTTGGCCAGAAGCAATGTCTGAAATCTAGAATTACTGTTTTTCTAGTCAGTGGGCCCAAGCTTCTGTTAGCCCCCAGGGATACTGGCTGCTACTACCCTCATGTAGACACAGAAGTATCTTTCCTTCCATGTCCAAGTTGGCCAGATATCAAGGGTCTGTAGAAGCAGAGGCATGACACATATATTGCTGGGTTTTGTCATCTATGAAGCACCTTAACACTATGGAAAATTGGAAGAAGAGCTCAGAACTTGCTCTGTTTATGGACAGGGTGACAGTTTTATGAAGTCTTGGCTTATTTTTGAATCATTCTGTAGCAAAAGAGCTGGGGACTCCAAAACAATGGCTTGTTGTCTAGTTTTCTCCCAAGGAATCCCACCCATGCCTCCTCACTTTTCTTCAGAATGAGATTGTTTCTGTAATAAATGGGGCTGGACCAGGCATTCCTCTTGGAAGAAGGCCATTTCTTCCTAGATTTCTCTTCTTTAGGGAAGGTAAAGAATATCACCTGCTAAAACCATGGCAAAAGTTAGGAGTTTCCTTTTGGGGTCAGCACAGTTCTTACACCCACAGGAAACCTCCCTCTGCCTATGTACCAATAGGCCAGAGATGTTAGCATTCATTGCTGGGGATAGGGAGGAAGTGGGGAAATGGCTTCCCCGTCTCTTCCTAGGTGTAGGTTTAGGACAAACTTCTTCAATACCAGGTTTCTTCAAAGTGGAAGCAGGCATACAAGAACTGACCTCAGTGGCTTTGCTAATGCCCAGGGCCCACTCAGCTGGTCAGCCTCTACAATCCTCTACAACAGAAAGGAGGACACAATGCCTTTGTCTATTCTGATAGTCTGGGGGAGACGGCAAGGTATGGGCAGGTAGCTGCTGGGCAGAGAGGATGGACGGTGAGGCACAATAGCCAGCAGGCATGGGAGTGAGCTATAGGAGGATGTGAACACTGGTGTAGCCCACTTATGTCTGCCTTGGAGCCTCTGTGCCCACTCAGAGCAGCCCCTGTAGCACATTCTGGCCCAGGCTTCTTCTAGACAAGTCTGTCTTTGACCTGTGAGCAGTATCCCAGGAGTGAGTGCAGTGTACAGGCAGGACACCTGCATGTCCAGCCAGATAAGCTAAGTCCTCCTGAACACCTCCAAAAGGGAGGCCATGGCCTGTACTTGCCAGGCTCATATTCTGTTCCCATGGGGAGCATGAGGGCAGCCACCCTGTATCAGCTTTATCTACCCCTGCCCTACCCCTTGTTCTAGATTCACTTCTAAGCCCCCCTGAGAAAACTACTGGGCTCATTAGATGGTTCAGCAGATAAAGGCACTTGTCATCAAGCAGAGGACTTGAGTTCTGCATCTGGGATCTGTGTGGAGAGAATTTGTCCACTAGCCTCCAGATGTGCACCATGGGATATGCTTATGCTCACACGCTTGCACACACATAAAATAAATAATTTAAAAATTTTGATGAAAACTACCACAAAGGGAGCATGGTCATGGCCTTGCCTATTCTAGTCTTGGACTTTGATGACACCAAGCCAAGGATGTTTAACTTGCTGCCTCCCCTCCCCCTTACCCTGAAGCCAAACCTTGAGCTTAGGCACTTCCCTAAGGTGGGTGGTGTGGAGAAGGAAGGGAGCCCACACAGTGGCTCTAAGCATCTCCCTCTAATGCCTGCATCCCACAACTTCCCGGCAAGGGCCAGGGCACCAGATGGCCCGGGGGTGGTGCTGTGAGTTCAGCACAGAACCCTCTGCTGTAGCCAGAAGCCTTGCCCCCTTTCCTCTACCCCCTCCTGGCCACACTGCCACTTGGGCCAGACATATAGAAGTGAGGAGCAGATGTTACAAGGACATGGGATCTTCAATGAGCTGAAGAGAGGCAAAGGTGGCCTCCTCCTTACTGGCCAGTACCCCAAATAAAATGGAAGTAATATCCAGGCAGCCTGGGGATGGGGAAGGGGCTTTTAGCCACTGTCATCTAGTCCTTGGGCAGTTTGCCTTATTTTGCCACTTTGAT